AAGAATTCCCGTATCTGGGCGCAGGCGGCTGCAGGCTTCGGGCTCGAGGCGCCTTGTGGCTGTTTCCTGGAGACACTGTCGCCTCCCCCATGACTTGGTGCCTGCCAGTGCTCGCGCGAGGCCTGCCCTCATCGCTGGCGCCGTGCCACGACTGGGGGAGGGAGGGAAGGGGGGAGGGGGGTGGTGGTGGACCGAGCACCCCTCCCGGCTGTGGGCCTCCCGCGAGACCGCCGCCGCTGGCCGTGAGGTCACGCGCGTGACCTTACATCCTGGAGCGTCTTGCCAAGTGGGATTGTGTGCTCACCGTCTCCCGATCAGATGGGGGCGGCCACGTGCGGACAGAGCACTTGGCCGGGCTGGGCGGGGCTCGCGTCGACTGACCCAGCAGCCCGCGCACCGCCCACGGCGCCTGCATTGCCACGTGCCGCCGGCACGCCCGGAGGCGGCCGCTCGGTATGGCCGGGCTCCGTCGGCAGGGGCGCCTCCAGCGGTCCTGCTTAGCCAGGAGCGGAGGAGCCTCCAGCGGACCTACGGAGCCGGGGGCGGAGGAGCCGCGCGCTAAGCTCTGGGGTCGGGCGCCGTTGGAGCTGCTCCTGGTGGATAGCCTCCTTCCGGCCTGCCTGACTTCGAGAAGCACGTAATCCTTGACCTGGATCGCAGAGGATGTGAAGGGTGCGTGCCGCCACTGTGTCGCACGCCACGACACATGCTCTGGTGCCGGCCGATCTCGCCTCGCCTTGGAGTGTGCCATCGGTCGAGATCGTGACTCGCTGTTTTGGAGTGAACTACACGCTGGCGTCGGTAATGGGCGGAGACGTGTTCCGTCTGGTCCGAAGTGGCCCAGCGCTGCGGTCCTCGGCGCCCCGTCCGGCGGTGACCTGGCGCCGCCCGTGCGTCCGGCCCACCAGCGCCAGCTGACTGGGACCGGCGCGGCGGCACTGGATATGGGTAGCCCGGCCATGCCCGTACAAGCCACCAGAGGTGCAAACCGACGGCAGCAGGCCCGCCGCGCCCGACAGAGGCGCCCCTGGCGGCGATATTCGGCGAAACGCGCCCACCCGGCCCACGTCTGCACTTTTCCCAGCGCGGCGCTGACAGCGTCGCCCGCGTGGCTGCGCCCTCGCCGCTCATCCGTGGCGTGGGCGCGCGGGCGGCGCATGCGCACCTCTGTCGGGCGACGCTGAATGACTCACGGCGCCTGTAGTGGAGCCGGCGGCGCGGCCGGCCGGACCGCCGTGGTGCGCTGCGGGTCGCGTCGCGCCGCGCCGCCACCCGCCTGAATGGCGCGCGCCGCACGCCCCTGTGCGCCCACGGACATGGATGTGGCACGTCGGCCGACTGGCGGCCGTATTTGGAGAGCGGCCGGCTGCCGCTCGCGGAACCCGATCCCCAGCGTTGCTCTGTCCGCAGGGCCTTCTCGGTCAGCGCGGTTCGAGGAAGGACGACGTGCCGCCGGAGCAGGAGCAGGTCATCTGCTCTGGGGCTGGTTGACGTCAGGTTCACATAAGTTTGCTTTTGTCAGATGCTCTGAATCGGCTGGGGTCAGAGGCCGCAGGATTGACTGCGTCTTGTCTCTCCATGGTCGGTTGCGGGGAGGTGCTGTGGGGCTGACTGAGGACAGCTGCTCCAGGGGTGTCATGGGTCAGCTCGGCCAGGGTGTGCTGAAGTCAGCTGCTAAAGGTTTGTCGTGAACCAGCTGCTCCACGGATGGCTGGGTCTGGGTGCTCAGCGTTGGTCGGAGACATCTGCCCAGGACTAACTGTGAGGTTAGCTATTCTGATGTTGGCTGCGGTCAGCTGCTCTGCTGTTTGCTAGGGCTAGCTGCCATGAAGTTGGCTGGGGTAGCCGCTCTGCTGTTGGCTGGGGTCAGCTGCCCTGAGGTTGGCTGGGGTCAGCTGCCCTGAGGTTGGCTGGGGTCAGCTGCTCTGCTGTTGGCTGGGGTCAGCTGCTCTGAAGTTGGCTGGGGTCAGCTGGTCTGCTGTTGGCTGGGGTCAGCTGCTCTGAAGTTGGCTGGGGTCAGCTGGTCTGTTCTCTGCTAGGGTTAGCTGCTCTGCTGTTGGCTGGGGTCAGCTGCCCTGAGGTTGGCTGGGGTCAGCTGCCCCGAGGTTGGCTGGGGTCAGCTGCTCTGCTGTTGGCTGGGGTTAGCTGCTCTGCTGTTGGCTGGGGCCAGTTGCTCTGAAATTAACTGGGGTCAGCTGCTCTGCTCTTGGCTGGAGCCAGCTGCTCTGCCGTTGGTTGGGGTCAGCTGCTCTGCTGTTGGCTGGGGTCAGCTGCTCCGGGACTGGCTAAGATAGCTGTGGTTTCAGATTTAATCAGGTTGAAGGCCAGTTGAAGGTCACTGAAGGCCATTTTTCTTTTCATCGGGAACGTGGGGATGCCGCCAGAGGTAAAAATTGTCCAGAATTACACGGGGAAGTCCCCGCCTTTGCTAGGGTATATGCCCAGTTAACGACATTTTGGAAAGCGTGGTGACGTTACATTGGTTTGGGAATACAGATCGCTGTCTTTTGGTGATGCAAAGCCGAGCCAGTGGAACATCGTGTGCTTTTGAGGCTTCAACCTTTCAACGTTTTTGTCAGTTCAGTCGAATAACACCGTGTTGGTCACCCGTATAGATTAGGCAACATTTCTTGCTGGCGGAAGGAAAGGAGAAGGTGAATTGGGTATGTTGCACCTAACTTCCAACAGAGATCTCCAACATGAGCTGTCAGTGCGGGGGCAGGGTCAACTAGCGCCTGTCGAGTTTTCTCTGACACGCCGGCGTGTGGCGGCCGGCTCGGGTCGGCCGGACGAGCGGGCGTCATTGGCCGGTCGTCCGCGCACAGCTCTGGGAGATCGGCTCGTGCCGGCGCGGCGGCGCGGCCGGCCTCGGGTCGCTTGCGAGCGCGCAGGTGCGGCGGTGAGAGCCGAGCCGGCCCGGCGTGGCGTGGCCCGGCGCGCTGCGGTGCGTTATTTTCGTGTGGTCGCCGCCCGCCCGGCCTGCCGCCGCCGCCCGCCGCCGGACTGGGGCTCGGGAGTGCGGCGCGCCGGCGGACCAGCTGATTTTTGACGTGGTACGCTGAACGCGCTCCTGAAGGTCATTTCGCGTACGCTGTCTGACATGGCGTGCTGAACTGGGGTGCGCTGCCTGTGCGACTTGAAAAGTGCGCACACGTGAGGTTTTTTTACACGGAGTGTGTCTTTTATGCCCGGAATAGAAGCAACTTCAGATTGACACCGCTGTTCCAGAAGGTGTACAGCGGCGGGCCGTACGGCTTGTGCGTGCTTCCAAGTCGCCTGGTTTTGCGTGCGTCCTTTCAGACGGCGTCTGGTCGGCCTAACGGCCGTGTTTGCTCCCGGCCCGTCCCCGGCGTTTTTCATTGGGACGGCCGGGGATCGATGTGACGCGCCGCGCCGTCCACGGTGCCGCTGTCAGAGGGTGTACAGCAGCTGTCGGAATGGGGTAGGCTGGAGCTACTCGCCCCCACTCGCCTACGTGGGAGAGGCTGGGAGTGGCGCGCCAGCGGCCGACCGCGTGGTCCCCTCTCCCGAGCTGGCGCCGTGACCTGGAGCTCTGCGAGAGCCGGAGCGCCGGCCTTCAGTCCTGTGAGTAGGGCCACGAGCCCGTCGCCGGAGCCGGGCGACAGGCGGCCATCTCAGCGCCGTGCGTCAGGGATCCAGGACGTCGTGAGTGACTCTTGCACCGCTGGCCGGGCCTCGTCTCACAGGCCGGCTGCGTCGCCCGCTGGTCGGCCGCCGTGACCCACGTGTCAACGAGCCGCGCTACCACGTCGCGCTGCGTCGGGCTTGGCTGCCCTGGCGCGGGGTGTTGTAGCCTGTTGCCAGGAACGCAGGGACCGTGGACGGGGCTCCATTGAGCCTTTGGCTCCTGCCGTTGGCCGGTTTGAAAGACGTTGCGCCGACTGGTGGGGACTGTGTGGCGTTTGTGGAACGGTGCGACGGGGGTGGGACTCGGTGGGAGGTGATGTGGCCGTGTGCCAGGTTTGGAGCCGTGCAACATGGGGTTTGACCGTGCTCCGAGTGAGGGTGTAGTATGCCTGGTGACAGTGCGGTGAGATGACCGCCGTCAGTGGTCATCAGCTGATATCAACAGCCGCCAGCTGACGTCATCAGCCGCCAGCTGACGTCGGCTGGCGGTCTCCTCCGCCGGCGCCGCTGCCGCTGCCGAGCGGGCGGCCAAGGCCGGCCGGTCCGCTGGGAAAGTTCATCCGGGACGGGGCGCCGTCGCGCCGCGCCGCCTGGCGGTTGACCCGGCGCGCCGCCCGCGCCAGGTCAGAGGTCACGTACCGCGCCGCGGCCAGCCACTTCGACCGGCCCAATTATCTATTGTTCCGGAGGACAGCGCGCGGCGCGGACGCGGCGAAAACGGACGCGCCGTCTCCGAGGGTGTGCGCTATGGCTGTGGAGGGAGCGAGGCGGGGCGGGGGACAGGAAGAGGGGGGGGGGGGGGAGTATACGGAATCTGACCGAAGCGTGCGCTGCCAGCGTCGCAGTGTTGGGCGGCGGTCACACGGTCGACACCGGCCGCGGTCAGGAGCCGCCCGGCTGCCAGCAGCGCGACCCGGGGACGACCCTGCGGTCGCCCGACCGGCTCGGGCGTCGCATTTCGAGCCGGCAACGCCACCCAGCGACCGCGCGGTGTCCTGGCGGCGGCCGGCGCGGGGCGCGGCGGTCGGCAAACAGCCTCGTGACCTTGCCGGCGTCCATAAGCTGTGCAGCGGCTGGTCTGGCGGCGCCGGTGCACGCGGCAGTCCGGCCGCTGCACGGGCGAGATAGCGGCTGGTCGGCCGGCGCCGCGCCACCCGCCCCTCGTCCGCCACGTCAGCCGCTGTTGACGACCGGCCTCCTGATTAAGCAGGCGCGCTGTCAGCTGACGCGGCCAGGCGGCCGCTGGCGGTGCTGGCCGGGCCAAGCCGCGCCGCTGTGCTCGGAAGCCGCGCGCTCGCTCGCCACTCTGCCGCTGGCCGGGCGCTGACGCGTCCGTTTGTCTGTGTTGGCAGGAACGCTTGATGCGAGACGTCCGTGCTCCATCCACCAGTGATGCCCAAGAAGAGGGCGACCGCCTCGCCCAAGGCGCGTGGCAAGCGTCGCCTGGAGGAGGCGGCGCCGGCGGCCGGCGCCAGCGCGGCCGAGGCGTGCGCCGAGCCGGACAGCAAGCGCGCCGGCAAGCTGGCCAAGGTGATGGGGCGCGGCGACCCGGTGCCGTCAATCAGCAATGGCGGCGGGTCGGGGGCCGCGCCGGTGGCCACCAACGGGGCAGAGACTAAGAACGGCGATGGGCCGCCCCCGCCGGCGCCGCCACCGCCGCCACCGCCTCCACCTCCGCCGCCGCCGCTGCCAGCGGTGTCGGCGGCGGCGGCTGTTCAGCCGGTCGCCGAGCCGAGCAAGCCCGTGCACGACGTGCGCAAGCTGCCCAAGAAGCGCAAGTTTGACCTGGCCGAGCTGGAGAGCATGCAGCGCCCGGAGGTGCCGGCAGAGCGGGGCGCCGCGGCGCCGCCATGGGACCAGGCGGCGGCCAGCGCCTCGCCGCGGCCCGCCTCGCCCGTACCGCCTCCCGTCCCGGCTCCCGTGCTACCGCCGCCGCCGCGGCCGACGGCGTCGGACGCCGCGCCCAGCTCGGCGCCGATGTCGCTGCCCGCCGGCAGCCCGACATACGTACTCTTCTCCAAGTGCGGTGAGCCGGCCGGCGGCTTGGGCCGACCGCAACCCTTTGCGCTGCCGGTGGAGGCGGTGGAGCCGGTCGTGTACCGGCCGGTGCATCGGTACGGCCAGGACCTGCGCGCGGCGCCGCGGCGCGCCGCCGACGAGCCGCAGGCGCCGCTGCTGTCGCCGCGCCACCACGCGCCGCCCGTCGTACCTGTACAGATCCACATCCCCGAGCCCAAGTCGGCCGTCGGCGGACACTACGCGCTGTGCGTGGACGCGCCGCGGCCGGCCGCCAAGATGGCGCACCACGTTCCGGTGCGGGACGCGCGGCTGGACGAGCAGCAGCGGCTGGCCGAGACGCGGCGCATCCTGGAGATGTCTCGCGACATCGACACGCGACCGGCCGAGCTGCTGCACAAGCGGCCGCCGCAGACGGCGCCGCTGCCGTTAGTGAAACCGGACCGGCTGCGTAGCGCCGACGCCAGGCCGGCGCTGCTCAGCCCGCCGCTGGCCGAGCGCCGCGAGGCGCGCCCCGGCGTGGCGCTGGCGGAGTGGCGCGGCCACCGCGTGCTCGCCAAACGCGAGAACTACTACCTTCCTGGTGTCGTGAAGAACGTGCACCGCACCTGCGACGTGTCCGTGCTGTTCGACGGCCACCAGCAGCCGTTCATCTACTCGAACGTGGTGGAGCCGGGCCGCTGTGACGTCATCAGCGACGCGGCGCCGCTGACGGGCCAGGTGACGGGCACGACGCGGGTGGCCGTGCGCGTCGACGCCGACAAGATGTTGTTCGTCGAGGGCGTCGTAACGTCCATCAACCGGGCGGCGCACCAGTTCCGCGTCAAGTTCTTCTCATCGGAGGGGCCGGTGGAGCGGTGGTACGCGCGACCGGCGCTGCGCGTCATCCAGCCGCCCTGGTTCGAGGAGCTGGAGGAGGTGTCGGCCGGCGGCGGGCCCGGCGCGCCGCCGCCGGCAGCGCAGGTCACGCCGCCCGGCACCACGCCCGTCACGCCCATCTCGGGCCAGTCGGGCTCGACGGCACCGTCGTCCGGCAGCGACGAGCTGCGCCGCGCCGGTTACGTCGAGTACGACAGCGAGGACGACCTCAAGCGGGAGGACATCAACTTCGGCGCCGATGGTGAGTGCCGGGCGTCCGGCGGCCGGCCGAGGGTCGCGGCGTGGGGACGGGGATCTCTTGAGGCGCCGACGGTGCTCTTGTGGGCTGCCGGACTTAAAATGGCTGACTCGTGAGTCATGCCCGGCTGGCGGTCCGGCGTGGAATGGCGGCGGCTTTCGAAGCGAGGCGGCGGCGTAATCTTGTTCGGGCGTGCGGCCCCACCTTGCACCGGGCCAGCGCGCTGTCAGCCGGCACCTGACGACGATGCGGGCTGACGGTGTTCGGCGGCACCCGAGCCGTTGGACCACGCCAACGCACGAGTCGAGCGGCGTCATGCGCACGCAGCGGGTACTTCCCCGTGTCCTTGGTTCGCCCGCAGCGGGGCAGCGGATGCAGTCACCATTTCTGCGAAATACCTCAGCCTGAGCGTGCTGCGCGGCGGCCAGAGGTGCCCCCTACCGCAGGCCTCTGAGCGGCTGGCACTGTCAATGAACACGGACTTAGGTGGTCTGCCCAGCCACCTGGCGGCTGGGCAGACCACCCCTCCGCGGCACACCAAGCGAACTCGACATGACCGAGGGAGGGATGTCGTCGGACAGGCCGTTGGTGGGCCACCCGTCCGTCCGGCACTGCGAGCGGGTCGGCGCCGGGACGGTAGGAGCGTGGGCGGCCGGCCGGCCGGCCCTGGCGTCCAACCGGCGCGGTCGCGCGGCGGCGTGGCCCGGCCGCCAGCGTCGTCCGTGACTCAGCCGCCGCCCCGCCGGCGACGCGCTGCTGTTGTGATACGCCAGCGACGCGGCCGCATGGTGACGTCAGCCCCGGCCGCGGCCGCCGGCGGCGGCGGGGGACCCTGACGCGCCCCCGGTGCTGTTGCGTAGGTTTGTCAGGCTGCCGCTGGCAGAGGTCGTCGCACGGCAGCGGCGTCGTGCAGGCTGGCCAGACCGGGCCACTCCCGCGACAGCCGCCGGCGCCTCTGGAACTCCCACTGTCGGCATGGTCTGGGAAGGGCCCGTTTGATTCCAAAACAGTCTGCGGCGCTCCGACAGTGCGCACTGAGCCCCCTCTTTAACGTCTGCCGTGGCCTTGTCGGAGATGCCTTTTCCACACTCCGTTTGCCCTTGGCTGGTTACTGTAGGTTTTTGCTGTGGTGTGGCTCCTTTGCGTTTTTGCGGATGAAATTACTCAGCGCGAACGTGGCGTGTTTTCGTAATATCGTACGTATCACGAGCCACGAGTTCGTACGAGACAGGTGTGAACGGCCTTCCGTCTGGCTCATGCTTAAACTTGGTTTATTTATTGGGATCACATGGTGATAAGGAAGTTAAAGCTGGCGTGAGGGGGGGGGGGGGCAGGGGCTGCCTAGGATGCAGGAAACGAAATGCGAGTGGACGTCCACGCCATAAGAAATACACAGCGAGAAAAGGCGAGCTGTCCTGGTATTGCACTGGCTTTCCTTCTCCTGTGGGTGTTCGCACCGTCAAAAGCAGATGGGTTTACTTTACATGAACAAGAAAATGGCTTGGAAGTGAACTCACATGGGCTACTCGACGCCCAGTCAGCCTCCGGCAGATTCCACGCCGTTATCCTCTGATTGCAGCTTGATTCATCGGAACTGCGCAGGTGCACGCCTCACAGGTGACCTGGCGATGGCCGATAGTGATGCTCAGATAGGCCGTCGGACGGCTGAGTCCTTCAGACACAGCTCCAGAGCCACGGTCACCGTAGCTCCTGCAGCATTTTTGTGGGTGTCCCGGGAGCCCTAAATGGCTATCACGTCCGCTGAGGACCAGGGACTTCTCGCTGCTCGACGAATTTCGAGCACTGGTCACACGCGATTTCGAACTCTTCCGGATGGATGCCTTGCACGGAATCGCAAGCGCGACGGGCCTCCATTCATGGAGCGCCGCAAGGCGACGGCGGTCGCAGATTTACGAATGTCCGGCGCCTGACGCCGGATTTAGACGCGATACGACTGGCGCGGCGGTGCGCGACGGCGCGAGCCGCGGCTGACGACGTCGGCGATAGCTACTGCCGTGCGGAGGGGGGGGGGGGGGGGGGGGGGGGGCTGCCGGCGCGGCGAAGGCGCGCGCCTCGCGCGGCGGCGGCGGCGCCGCCTGAGCCGTGCTGACCGTGCCGCGCCGCCGCCCGTGCCGTATTGACCAGGTGACCGCGCGGCGCGACCAGCAGCCGGCCACGCTCGTCGGTCCGGGCTGGCCCCGGCCGTCAGCTGGTCGGCAGGTCGCGCTATCGTGCCACTCCGGGCCGGCCTGGGGGAGGGGAGGGCCGGCCGGCCGGTCAGCTGTTGTCGCTAGGCGGGCCGGCCAGCCGCCGGCGGCGGAGGTGTGGCGCCACGGCCGCGTTGCCGTGTTTCCAGTCGGGCATCGATCGCCGCTGTCGGGGCCCGCTCCGCCGCCGTCCGGCTGCCGTGCACCTCCGCATGTGGAGACGGGCCTGACATCAGCGCCTGAGGTGCAGGAGGTGCCGGTCTGGCCTCCGGCGGCCACAGACGTGCATGCAGGTCTGATCTGGCTTCTGGACGGCCGCCGAGGTGGAGACATGGATATGACCTGACCTTCAGACATCCCTGAAGTGGGAATAGGCATCACCTGACCTCTGAACAGCGCCTGAGGTGAAAAAGTCACCCACCACACGTCCCATACGGTGGAAAAGTTGGGTCTCTCCCTCGCCCGCGGCCGAAGTCCCACTTCCCTCCAAGAAAGCCTGGCTGGGACCCGTGCGATGCGGTCCGTCCAACCGCGGACGCCGCCCGGGTGGAGCAGACCTCTCTAATCCCCAATGCCCAGTCCCCATTCCGAGAGCTCGGTCGGTGCGCCCCTGAGGTGCGGTGTCTGCGCCCGGGACGGACACTGTACGGGGCTGATGTGAGCCTCGGACCGAGCTGGCTCGGCTCGTACGCGGCCGCTAATAGTCGGCTGCAAGGTCGCTGCTGGCCGAAGCTGCGGCCGGGGACCTGAGCGGCCGCTGCAGCGACAGCAGGGCAGGCGGAGGTGACGGCAGAGGGGTGAGGGCAGAGGGAACGGGAAGGGGGAGGGGCGCCCAGCTTGGCCGCCTGGCGCCTGCGCCGGCTCCCGGCATCGCCCGCCAGACAAGGGACGAGGCAGAGGCGTGCCAAGTGGTGTGGTATGGGGAGGGGGCAGGGCAGGGGAGATACGGGGAATTCTGCTGAGAGGGTTGGGCGACAGCTGACGTCGCTGCTGAGCGAAGACGTGCCATGTGCGGCCTCGGTTGTCGCGCGACGAGAGAAGTTCCAATGACCCAGTGGAGCGATACGTTTGGAAAATGCTTTAGAGGTATGTTGTCAGCCGCCAGGACGCGAAGCGTCTAAAAAATATCAGGGAACTAATAACCTTACTACATATTTTTATTTCTTGTCGGTGCCCACTTAAGTTTGGTTTGGCTCTGGCCATCTTTGCCCAACCCAACGTCGCATGTGTAATAACAGTTACTCCATCCATAAACTCCTGTAATTGATAGCTGTTGCGGCCAGCGGCGTGGCACCCTTCAATGGAGTTGTTGCGTCGTTTGGACACCGCCCGTGTCGCCTCCTTCCCTGGGCATCCTCTCTGCACCCCCTGTGCGAAAGCGCACTGCCAAGGGATTGGCACGGGATGGCGGCACCCTAGCTGAGTTCCATGAATGGGGACCAACCCCCACGGGGGGGGGGGGGGGGCGACTCAGGTGAGATCGTTCGCTTTGATCAAGGTGTAAGAGGTAAGTCCTCCAGGAACGCTTTATATCTGTTGGCGATGGACCGCATCAGCCCACTTTATAAACGCTTCGATCGATCAGGCTCAGGTGCATGCTCCTCATGCCTCTGAATGTCACCGAGCATTTCGCGTGGCAATTTGTTGATTGATTCTCGGGGAATGCTCATGCTGATGCCTATGGATGTTAGCCAGGATTTCATGTTAGACTCAAACGGTGGGATGCAGGCCAGTGAGGACACTTCGTTTCGGCCCCAGCATTTTACAGGAGCCTCGGATGATCACTCGCAGTCGGATGCTGCTCCGCGTGCCACGGAGTGTCAGCCGCAGCGTTTCAAAGGAGCCTCGAGTGATCACTCGCAGGCGGATGCTGCTCCGCGCGCCACGGAGTGGCAGCTGCAGCGTTTCAAAAGAGCCTCGAATGACCGGCGGCGGGCGAGTTCTGCTGCCCATGCCGTCGAATTCCGCCGGCCAGCACCCCGTCACGCGCGGCTCCTCCCATGAGGGGTACTGGCGGCTGCGTGCCGCCCGTGTCCGGCCAGCCGGTGGGCTGATACCGCGGACCCGCCGGCCAGTCGCGCCGTCCGAGGCTCGGCCGCGAGCCGTTGCAGCGGCGGGTGCTGGGCACCTGCAGCCACGCCGATGCGTGCGTGCGGCGCCGCCCGCGCAGGCCCAGCTCCGCCGTCGGCCCGCGGGCGGGCTCGGAGCCGCTCCACTGCGGCCGCACTGCGCCAGGCCGGCCCCGCCGAGGCCTCGTCACTCAGTCGTGCACGCCGCCTCTCGCCGCCCCACGCGCGGCTCCGTCGTAAAATTGCCCCGCCACGCCTGGCTGCGGCGCCCGGCTGAGTTAAACGGGACGCGGTGCGTGGCGGCGCGGCCGGCGGCGCACACCGATACCGGGGATGCCGCTCGGCCGGCGCGCCGCCGCCTGCTGCCACCTGGTGGCGACCTCTGCCGCCAGCGCGGGCGTGGTGGAGGTAAGCTCAGGCCCACTCAGGATGGTCCAGGTCAACCCAAGTCAGCCCCAGTGCGCGGAGGTAATCGAAGCCAACTCACGCCAACCCATGGGAACCCGGAACCGAATGGTCAAATAAAGACACGCCCGCCGGATGAGCGCAGGTCAGCTCGGATCAGCCTGGGTCAGATCGGCTGGCGGGTGACGGCGAGAACGCGCGGCGCCAGGGCGGCCGGCCGTGCGTCAGCCGCGGCACCGGCGGCGGACGGTGCGCAGCGCGGCGCACCGTCCGCCGCCGGCCGGCCGGCCCCTCTCGGAATGCCGCTCCGCGCCGACCAAGG